AGGATTCCATTCCAGGTCTCCTTCTTGGCCTGAGTGAATTCCGCGACGGTGAAGTCGAAGGCCTCGGTACACCACCACTCGTAGTGGTTGAGCTCCTTGCCGACTGGCATCTGCGCCGGTATCTTCTTGAGGATAGCCAGAAGCCCAAACTTCTTCTTCTTCACCACGTGAGAAGGCCAGCAAAGAAGGGGCACGTTTGATGGAAGCTTGGCTTTACGCCCACCGCTGCCAGCGCCCTCATCCTCGCTTTCAACCTCATCCCCGCCCTCACCCACACTGCGGACCCTGCCGAACTGATACCACTTGGTGTCGCCCGGTACCCGATCACAAGGGAAGGGTATAGGCGGCGGGCCCGGGTCCTTACCCCGCTGCTGGGCAGGTCTCTGCCGCCGACCACGAACCCAGGCGGCTTGTTGCACGGCGTTTGGAGGTGGCCGAGGACCAGCCATTTGCCCGGGAGGTGGTGGTTGCTGCTGCTGCCGTTGCTGTTGAGGCGGGAGCGGTGGCTGGCGCTGCGGTGGGGGAGGTGGGGGTGCCGGCTGCCGTTGGTTTTGTACCGGCTGGGGGTGTGGTCGCAGCTGCGGCGGCGGCGTGGGCTGCTGCTGCTGACGTTGTGGTGGAGGTGGAGGGGATCGAGGCGGCCGCTGCCAATGGTCCTGTAGCGGTTCTTCCTGGGTTTGCAGAGGCGGCTGGGGCTGCTGGCGCTGCTGCTGCGGTAGGGGAGGTGGAGGTGCCTGCTGCTGCCGCTGCTGATGGTTTTGTACCGGCTGGGGGTGTGGTCGCAGCTGCGGCGGCAGCGTGGGCTGCTGCTGCTGACGTTGTGGTGGAGGTGGAGGGGATAGAGGCTGCCGCTGGGGCTGCTGGCGCTGCGCTGGTTGTGGCAATTGCTGCCGTTGATACCGTTGCCGTGGTGCTGGTGGCGGGGTGCCGTACCCATCCTCCTGATCGCTGTCAACATCCATGGCAGCCAGAGACAGCTGGTGAGATGATGGGCTGTCCCAAGCAGTGCGAAACAAAGCAGGGCGGCTGTAGAGGCCTGGAGGTTCCGCTGCTGTAACATGGCGCTGCTGTCGAGCCTCATTTGCCGGAGCCATCCGACCACGCTCCTGCATAGATAACGAATGACAGCAAAGCGTGTAGGGCACCCACGGTTAGCAACCAAGGATAGGGATGCGAAGGTAAAGGCGACAGCGGCAATGCCTCGCCCATATTTTAACATAACCTACAGCTTTCTTTAAAAGCTTTCAATGCAAGACTGATTACAAGCATGCGCGCGTGCTGGCAGAGGATCCCTGGCAAGAAAGATAGCAATCCTCCCACATGGGAGCCCTCGGCTTACCGTCGTCCGTCGTTTTGGTTGATAGCTCAGCTCCTCCTCCTCCTCCTCCTCATCGTCTTCGTAGATAGCAATCGGCCGCCTACCATTCTTCTTGGCCTTTTTACTGATGGCTTTTCGCCTCCATACGTCCTCCGTCCTTCGCTTCATTGATCCCTTGTGACCCTGCACAGCATTAATGATTTAGGTTAGTTGTCACTACGATTGTATGTCCCTGGTGCGAAACACCCCTTGAAGCTTTGGCCACCACAAAATACATATTCTCCCCACAAGACGCTTCTATGAAAGCATCTTACCCAATGCAACTAACGCATATCTGATCATGCTATCCTAAGCCATATTTGAGATGTAAGTGTTTCTGTTGGAAATGTCGGCACATCAGGCAACGCGTCTTATGTTTTTTATCATCCCTCGCATATTATATGTTGACGTGTGTTGTGTGTCTTGGCAAATAATAAAGCGCCTGCTACCGTCGAGCCAAGGGCAGGTTACCGTCCGGAACCGGTATGCAGTACACGGTTGCAAAGCACCTGTTAGATGCATACCAAACCTAGACACATGCCGCCCAGCACTTATGCTGACGAACATGCATACTGCAGCCATCGCAAACGTGCATTTCTGCGTGTGGTATCCTGTGGTTCGGTCTGCAAGCATGGGGTTTGTTCGACTTTGGCGGAGTGGCCTGTGGTTGACGTTTGGTTTCTTGGTTCACAACGGTATCACTGGGGTGGGCTCTCATAGAGGGAGGGTTCGGATTGGGTTTGCTTGGGTACGTGTCGGCGTGGTTCTGTGGGGTTGGATTGGGTTTGGTACGGTTGCAACGGCTGAAGTACATTAGAGTTAGTTTTGGTGCTGGGTGGTTGACGTTTTGGTTATATTGGATTTGGTTGGGTTTGGTGGGCTGGTAAAGGTTGCGGTTTGCTTTGCTTGCCTACGGTTGGGTGTGGTTCTGCACGGTTCTGCACGGTTCACTGTGGTTACATGGGGTAAAGTACGGTTGAGCTGGGTGCGGTTGCATGGGGGTTCCATACGGTTTAGTGTGCTTTGGTCAGGCTGGGTGCGGTGGGGTTGCTGAGGTTCGCCACGGTTTTGACAGGGTTCGGTGCGGTTCCGGCCCAAGGGTCGGCGGATGTGCATTTCTGCGTGTGGTATCCTGTGGTTCGGTCTGCAAGCATGGGGTTTGTTCGACTTTGGCGGAGTGGCCTGTGGTTGACGTTTGGTTTCTTGGTTCACAACGGTATCACTGGGGTGGGCTCTCATAGAGGGAGGGTTCGGATTGGGTTTGCTTGGGTACGTGTCGGCGTGGTTCTGTGGGGTTGGATTGGGTTTGGTACGGTTGCAACGGCTGAAGTACATTAGAGTTAGTTTTGGTGCTGGGTGGTTGACGTTTTGGTTATATTGGATTTGGTTGGGTTTGGTGGGCTGGTAAAGGTTGCGGTTTGCTTTGCTTGCCTACGGTTGGGTGTGGTTCTGCACGGTTCTGCACGGTTCACTGTGGTTACATGGGTAAAGTACGGTTGAGCTGGGTGCGGTTGCATGGGGGTTCCATACGGTTTAGTGTGCTTTGGTCAGGCTGGGTGCGGTGGGGTTGCTGAGGTTCGCCACGGTTTTGACAGGGTTCGGTGCGGTTCCGGCCCAAGGGTCGGCGGATCTGCAGCCATCGCAAACGTGCATTTCTGCGTGTGGTATCCTGTGGTTCGGTCTGCAAGCATGGGGTTTGTTCGACTTTGGCGGAGTGGCCTGTGGTTGACGTTTGGTTTCTTGGGTTCACAACGGTATCACTGGGGTGGGCTCTCATAGAGGGAGGGTTCGGATTGGGTTTGCTTGGGTACGTGTCGGCGTGGTTCTGTGGGGTTGGATTGGGTTTGGTACGGTTGCAACGGCTGAAGTACATTAGAGTTAGTTTGGTGCTGGGTGGTTGACGTTTTGGTTATATTGGATTTGGTTGGGTTTGGTGGGCTGGTAAAGGTTGCGGTTTGCTTTGCTTGCCTACGGTTGGGTGTGGTTCTGCACGGTTCTGCACGGTTCACTGTGGTTACATGGGGTAAAGTACGGTTGAGCTGGGTGCGGTTGCATGGGGGTTCCATACGGTTTAGTGTGCTTTGGTCAGGCTGGGTGCGGTGGGGTTGCTGAGGTCGCCACGGTTTTGACAGGGTCGGTGCGGTTCCGGCCCAAGGGTCGGCGGATTACCCTTGTGGATCTTTTCGCCTGACGCCCTATTTGACCCAAGAGGGCCCGGGCAATAGGCCTCCTGTCGTACATTTGTGTTCTAGTTGGACAGCCTGTGTGTTGCACGTGCAGTCTGATGGACTATGCCTGCTTTTTTCCCCTTCCCAGCTAGGGCAACATCACATGTGGGTGTTTGCTGTGTCTTTTAGCCTACTGTGCCCGTAATGCTGTGTTCCATTCCCTTATGGTGCACATGCAGCTGGCGACAGGCCTCACAACTGTCTTTGGGTGAAGTACACATTGTTTGATGAGGATGTTCGTTGGAGAGGCCCCATGCTCACTCCCCCCACACATCCACTCCCAGGAGCACCATGCGACGACTGTGATTGATATTATCCTATGACCCATGCCTAATATGCACAGCCCACGTCAGGCAAGGCGCTGAATCCCGGATTGGCCGCGTGGGAGGTGTGATTTGTTGGGAGTGGTCACCCTTGAGCAGGGTGACGAGCTCATGACCAGCCGCGCTTAGCCCTGAAATTGCACTAAAGCGCACACATACTCGCTCAAACAAGCATACCAGTAACAGGTTCCTTACGGGTTTTGGAGGAAGCGGGCAGAATAAGCTGCCTCATGCCCCGTTGCCGTACATCAGCAGCGGCATAGCAGAGGCTCGCATTGTGCCTGCGCACGCTTACTTCACTACTGTTACAACCACACTGATGTATAAATAGGTAAAATACTTCACGTCCTGTTTTTATGGACAGAGTTCGACGCAAACGATCTGGAGGCGGTGCTGGGCCGGAGAAAGCCACTCGGACTTTTTGGCCGTCGTCTTGGAGCAGCCGTCGGCTTTTCTCATCCGTTTAGGAGCACCTAGCAAATCAGGGCGTTGGGAGGGCCGGAGCGCTTGCTATGAGTGCGATCTCCTGCTGCTCGTTGTCTGGGCCGAGCTCTCGTTAGAGGCCGTAATGAGGTGCACGCGGGCTTGGCACATACAACATCGTGTTCCTTGATATGAGTGTGTGATTTGCGGTGGCAGCTAGCTTCCTTTCATCTGAGCCTCGCAATCGCATTTTCCAGTGTCCCTCGTAGCCACCATAACTTACACCAGCGTCTGCTGTTCCTCTCTGTTCTAGGTTACAAGCCGCTTGGCAGGCTGCTTGGTGAAGGAAGGGCCGTGATCTCAGTGGAGCGGCGGCGGTTGGTTGGATGGGAGTGTGAGAAAGGCGGTTGCCATGCAGCCCAAGCTTTTTGCAACGGGGGCTGATGCCGCGTTCTCGGGACTCTCTATTTCCAAACCCCTTTCTGTTGCTCTACACTGCTGTTAGCACCACGTTAGCCCCTGCGTCCTCACCCTCTTGCGCGCTCTTCTCCTCTCGCCGCCCTGCTTACCCTGCGCCCTGCTGCTGCCCCGACTACTTCTCTCCCCCCCCGCTTGCTAACATGTTTCCTTCCTCTCGCATGCTCTTTCTCCTGCTGCTCCGTCCTTTTCAGAGCCCTCCCCGCCGCTGAACAGCTCTGCAACGCACCGCCCAGCCATGCGTTCTTTCATGGGACTGGCTCCTCCTCCCTCTCGGTCCCTGTCTCTGTTACCTCGCCCCAATCAGCCCTTCACTGCTACCCTGGCCTGCACGTCACTGGCCAGCGTTCACCCCGCCGCGCGCCATTGGTTAAGCTCCTATAGCAGGACATGTGAGTTGGGTCATTGTAGGGCGGGCGGATTTGTGCAGGGAAGGGGGTTGTGTAGTGGATTGGTGCATGGCAAGACGGGGGAAACTTGGGGGCGCCTGCAACACCTGCAACACAGTTGAGACCCGTGGGTCGCCATGGTGTTGGGCAGTATCCATGTGTACCTCCTCCGACCGCCTGTCATACTCGGTCGTGCGTGTTCCCTTACTCATTCCTCCCGCTCCTGTCTCCCTCCCCCCCCCTTCATGCAGCCCTCTCTCACTGTGGACTCACGGAGCCCCAGCAGCAGCAGTGGCAGGAGCAGCAGAACCCCATGAATGACCTTAGCGGGTGCAGGGAAGGGGGTCCCTCCTCCCCCTCCCTCCCGCCTGGCGTGCCGTTTTCACCAACTTGCCCGCCGTCGCCAGCACCGCCCAGCCTGACATCGACCTCGCCTGCAGCGCCCAGCCCTCTCCTCCCTCGCCCTCACCGCCCAGCCTCGCCTACACCGCCATCTCCTGCACTTCAACCGCCTGGCGTTCCGCCTCCATCCCTCACCTTCTCTTCCCAGCCTTGCACCACCACCACCTCCTGCGCCGCTTCCTGCATGGCGTGCTGCCACCTTCGCTGGCGAGTCCGCCGGGGTGGGCACAGCCTTGCACCACCACCACTCCATGCGGCCGACGTCCTTACATCGGCGTGGCCATCCCGTGTTCGCTGGAGCCGTCCCACCGCCGCTCATCACGCCGCGCGTAGCTTATATAGCAGCAGATGTGAGTTGGCGTACAACGTATGACGGGCAGAGGTCCATGGAAGGGGGTCGTGTAGAGAGAGGGAACTTTGGCGGGGCACCGGGCGGTCCTGCTAACACCTGCACACACAGGGCACAGCGGGCTGTTGGATATGCCCTGGCAATGTACAGCAACGCCTGCACACCGTCTTTGCCTGTTCGTCGTCTCCTTTGCATGCCTTCTTATCCGCCTCCTCTCCCCCTCCCGCCTCCCGCTCCCGGCCCCTGCCCTGCTGCTCGCCTCCCCCACAGTCGTCCTCTACACAGAGACAGTGCTGAGCTATTGCTGTTCCGGCCTCGACTGCCAATCACCGCCACAGCCCCCACCGGCGCTGCCACAGGCCCGCCTCCCCCCTAACCAGCATCAGCCATGCTGCTGCCACCCCTCACCGCCCCCAAGCCCTGGCACCTCCGCCCCTGCTGGGCACCCTCTGGGCCCGCTCTGCCCAGCTCGCTGCCCGCCCTCACCCGCACTGCCCAGCCCTCACGGCCGGCCTTCCCGCCACACAGCCAGCTTCCTCCCTCGCCTGTTCAGCCACAGCCCCACTTGCCTTCGCCGCTGTTCAGCTTGTTGCCGCCATTTACCAGCACGTCCACCGCCATATCCCCAGCCCATCAGCATCCGCCGTAGCTCACCTGCAGGCCGGAGCCCTACTGGTCTGCATCGTCCATCCCCTTTTGAGGAGTTCCACGTGTGGCCCGTCGCCTACAAAAACAGGTGAGTGACCCATGGGGTCATCAGCACGCTCAGGGCAAGGGGTTAGGGCGCCGTTAATGCACGGTGTTATGGGTGGTCTCCCTCTTGTCTCCTCCTTTTCTTCTATGAAACCCCCCCACACACCCCATACAACGCTCAGACTCAAACCGGTTCCCCTCCCTCCACTTCCTTTCCTGCCCAACAGTGCCTGGCGGCCACCGGAAATCACCTTCATCCTGAAACCGCCCCACAGTCGTCTCTACACAGGACAGTGCTGAGCCTCTGCTGGTCCGCTGTTTGCAACCCCGCGCAGCCCCCCACCGGCGGCCGCCCAGCCTGCCCTCCCCCCTAACCAGCGTCAGCCAGGGCGGGTGCTGCCGCCCTCACCTGCCCCCCAAGCCCTGGCACCTCCCGCCCCTCTGGGCCCCGCTCTGCCCAGCTCGCTTTCCCGCCCTCACCCCGCACTGCCCAAGCCCTCACGGCCGGGCCTTCCCGCCGCACAGCCAAACAGCGTTCCTCCCTCAGCCTGTTCAGCCACAGCCCAACTTTGCCTTCATCGGCTGCTCCAGGCTGCAGCCAGCCTTCACCAGCACGTCACCACCATAGTCTCCAGCCCCAGTCTGCAATCCGCCGTAGCTCACCGGCAGGCCGGAGCCCCTGACTGGTCTGCATCGTGGCATCACCTTTTGTGAGGTTCCCACGTGGCGGCCCGTCGCCTACAAAACAGGTGAGTGACACCACTGGGTCCCATCAGCACGTCCAGGGGCAAAGGGTTAGGGGCGCCGTTAATGGCACGGTGTTATGGGTGGTCTCCCTCCTTGTTCTCCTCTTTTCTTCTATGAAACACCACACCCATACGCGCTCAGACTTCAACCACGGTTTCCGCTCCCTCCCTTCCTTTTCCTGCCCTCAACCGTTGCACTGGCGGCCATCGAAACTCACCTTCATCCCCGAAAACGCCCCACCAGTCTCCAGCTCACCAGTGACGCCCCGGTTTGCCCAACCATACCACTCAGCGTCTGCTGCTGCTGCCTGTGGCCCGCCGCCGTCCGCCCCAGGTTTCAAACACCGCTCCCCCGCACCCGCTACCTCTCATCTCCCTGCACCCCTCCCGCCCTGGCGCGCCGCCTCCCTCGACCTCACCGCCCCGCCCAGCACCGCCAATCTCCCTGCACCGCTCCCGCCCTGCCGTACGATTTGGTGGTTGGTTGGGGGCCGGTGTTGAAGTTGCTGGACTACCAACCTCCTTAACCTGCACCGCTGCTGCTGCCTGCTGCTGCTGTGGCCCGCCTCGCCGTTGCCACAGTTCAACACGCCCCTTACCCAGCAAGCACCCAGCCCGTCACCATCACCTACACCGCCCTGCTGTCACTACTCCCACCAACACCTCCAAGCTCGTACGGTTAAGTAGGGCGCGGTGTGGGGAAATATATCAACAACTTGCCCCATAACGCCTCCATCCCCGGCCTGTTATGTTGCCTATTATGCCTTGCCGGTAACGCTGCGATGCAACCCACCCACGCCCTGTGCTTGTGTGAAGCAATCCCGCGTGATGCAGGAGTCTCTTGGCTCTGCGTGTAGAGTTGCGAGCACCTAACCACAGTCCGTCTGTGCAACGTATTCCCTCACCACACGCTCAACTGCGTATCCAAAGGTCTTCTTCCTTGCACCTTGGTTGTTGCACTGCGGTCTGACCTGACCTGCTGCACCCCTCATGTGCTCTGTTGCAGGGCAAAGGCGAGCACTAGCAAGACGTCGCCAGCCACGTACGAGCCCAGGGTAAGCGGGGCGCGGTGTGGCCAAGACACTGGTTGTTCGACGCCGGTATGGGGCGGGGGGGCGTGGGACGGGGAGGCGCAGGTTTCGGGCTGTGTCGTACTCTGGCGTGTACTCTGGCAGCGTTGGGGGTTCGTAGCACTGCCTCTTAAGTATGTATGGGTAGCCCGCCCCACGTGAGTGCCCCACAAGCGCAAATGGACGAGAGGGCAGCGCTGTTGAGAGCAGCAGACGTGCACAGAAGTGCTCAGGCATGATCAGGCATGATTATCGACAGATAAGCGCTGCCAAAGAGCACACGCTGCCTTTTCGCCCTGTCGCCCCGTCCCCGCTACGCCTCCTGCTGGCATCCTGCTTAACTTCATGTGCATGTTTACCCCCCACCCCCACAGGCACAGCACACAACCGCGGTGGGTATCAAGCACGCAGAGAGTCTGTGTGGGGCACGGGTGAGCTGGGGGTTGTATTGGGTTGGGCGGAGGGGGCGGGAGAACGAGGGATGTGTCTCTTTTACATGTGGGGGGGAAAAGAGCTGCGTGCTGCCCTGCTTTGCAGCCCCATGCATCCTGTCGTTATGTCCCTCTCCTTCACTCTCAACTTACCGCTGCTCCTCACTACATACTGACACCCCTTCTTGCCCTCTTCCCCCCTCATCCCCACCAAACAGAGAGATGGCGCAGCTCCTCCCTTTCCAAGCAATGGTCTGCGTCATCCCCTTCCTCCACCCATACACCCCCTGCCACCGCCGCTGCCGCCGTCGTCACTGCCCCTACCTCGTTCCCTCCTGCCAAGATGCACGGGCGCTTCAATCCCCACCACCTCCCAGACAATACGGAGAGGGGCCGCCAACCGGCTCGGGGCTGGTTTGGGGTACGGCAAGGGGCAGGGAAGACCTAGCATGTAGTGGGCTAGCTAGTGGGCAGAAGGCAACCCGCCAATAGCAACAGGCATATACTAATGGCTTTCACCCCAAGCATGCACCCTACCTTTGGGTCATCCTCCTCCTATCCATCATGTGCATCTGCATTTTACACCTGCTGAGCCTTCGCTCTCCCTGCCCCAAACCCCTTGTCTAGCAGGCGCTCAGCAGGCGCATGGTGAAACTCCGGTGGGAGGGGCAGCACCACCGCGGCGTCCACCATGAACCATGAGCCATCCATTCCTTCCCAACTGACAGGCAATTGTACGAAACAGGCAACACCACCAAGCGATCAAGACCCCAATCAAGACCAAGTTGTCATAGTGCCGCTGCTGCTGCTGCTCTGCCGCATGAAGAGCAGCAGCCCAATATGCTCCACCGCCACCTGCAGCACCACATTCTCAGCATGCAATGCCATGCCCTCCATTCGTCGACGAGTCACGCGCGCGCGCACATAGCAGCATTCACTAAAGCATAATGAACAACAGCAAAACCACCTTTCATTGCATGTTTTTCGTATTGGGATATGATAAGAAAAGCAGGGTCGCGCATGCAAGCGCACATACTTGGTGTATTTTATTTTCTTTTAAAGGGCCACCACATACTACTATACCTTGTTTTTTTCAATGGCAACATGGTTTACGACTGAGCTCGAACTTTTGGCCGGTAAAGCCATCGATGCGTACATGATTGTACGGATTTTTCGTTTCCGCGCATATCTCAACAAACCAAGCACACCATGGTGTTCAGCGTTGAATTTCCTGCAGGTCCATGTGTTTATTGAGGTAGGCGACGGACTAACAAGCCACTTGCAGTACACCCGCCCGAAGGTAGAGCACACTGCAGGTGACTCAAGGTGTTGCAAATGCTTACATTAAGTGCAAAGACATATACGCCTGTCCGCCCTGTAACACATCCTGTTTACGACCAGCTTGCGACCTCCGAACCAGCATTACAAGTTAGCCAAGAGGCGAACTGCCCAATGGCCAGTTACGTAGCGTTATGTAGTGCACATAGAACACTTAGGCAGGGCCTTGTCAGCTTAGGCCCAGCTGGCGACTGTGCGTTTCTTATTCAAACAGAATCGCAGTCGACAGTCAGCGACAACAAGCACTGAGGAGAAAACAAGACATACGAGCTTACGTTTATACTCTCAAGTAAGTTTTGCATCTAGCGGGTCTAATGGGCTCATATCCAGACGTCGGCATCCGCATCC